TGTGTGTGTGCGTGTGGTGTGCTAGTGTGGCTTTGCGAGAGTGTCTGACCGCGAACGCCCCACAAGGAAGGCTATCATGAAGGGCATCCTTATATATGGAAATTTCATTAAATGCAATTCATTTCAACACAACAATTTTTGTGTGGTTTCCGTGTAGTAAATAAACTACACTGCACTACAAAAGCATATACAAATTGTCCAGTCTGTGGGCATAAGAACTGACAATTTTTAAAAGCAATAAAAAAATATATGTTTATGTCCAATTGAAGAAACAAAGAGATATGAAGGCGAGCTTACGTTTGTTTTGTAAGCTTGAATAAAAACACAAATCCTAATTAATTTGAACTTTAATCTCTTTTAAGTACACTAAATTTGATCCACCTGCATCTTGCATTAAACCGTTAACTCAATTATAAAAAAATAAGCTATAAAAGACATAATGATTGAATTTAATGATTGATTCCCACATGGCATGTGTATATTGTTGCACAATGCGCATTTAATAATACAACAACAGCAACAACAACAACAAAAGCAGAAGAAGAAGTAGAGGAAAAAATAAAACAAGCAAAGCCGTAAAAACTATTTTTATGGCATCTTAGCCATAAATAAAACTATCTACCTTATGTTTGCCAATAATCGTGCATTGCTCGCCACTCAGCCGAGTAATGTGGGTAATAAACAGTTGGGGCGCCTCAGGCAGCCGCAGCCGCAGCCGCAGCCGGAGCCGGAGCCGTTGCGATCAATCCAAGCAGAGCTTTCCTCGTCGCCATCGTCATCTCAACATGCCTTGACATTTCGTCAAGCTTACGCGCAAAAGCTCGCCACGCCGAAGCTTCAAACATGCTGCGCAGTGTAGTCGTAATGCATGTAAGCAGGCTTGTACGCTGGTAAGCAGCTTATTTATGCATAAAAGGGAGATTGCCTGCCAGGAGGAGGAGCAGCAGCAGAAGCGGGAGGAGCCGGAGAAGGAGGAGATGTGGCGACAGGCTTTTTGGGAAAGGATTTGCAGTTAATGTTAAGTGCTGCAAAGGTCAGAGCTGACTGTGGCACGCAGATGGACAGTTGATATGTTCAGCATGCGACTTAAATTCGCTTTGAGTAGTCAAGTTCAAAGTACACGCGGCTGCTAGATACCCTGTAGCAAGCAAGATTCTTTTATAATTCTTTTAATTTGTAACCATTTCATTATTGTAGAAAGTAAATCATTTTTTTGACTAGAAGATACCCTATGCTTAAGCACTAATTCGTAAGTGAATGTATCACTATATACCCTGTGGAAGTTTGAGAATTATTTGTCATAGTAGAACACAATCCATTCAATAATGTAAACCAGTAACAAAATGCATTCATTTGATATTATTATTCCACATTTTAAACTAGAATGTTTTAAAATCGATTTTATTACTAATTGCAATACACGTTCAATCAAGTCGGGTAGGGAAAAGCAGATCTCTACTATCTTGTAGACAGATACCCTATTGTAGTTGGATAATTATATGTCATTGTTGAACACAATGCATCATACAATCCATTATAAAATGCATTAGGCTAGTTAAATAAAATACACTCATTATAAATTATTTTGCAGAATTTGGACTGCTAAATACCCTGTAGAATGTTTTAAAATCGATTTTACTCCTAATTGGAATCCACACTCCATCAAAAGTTAATTTGAAACAGTTTATACATATTGTCATAATGGTCAATATCAATATTAGATACCCTAATCGATATTACGAAAATCATAAGAATTGCTAATTATAAAGGTCGAAATCAATTTGCGTATGTTTAGTATTGTATTCATATAGTTGAAGGTGTTATTTATAGTTCTTGAAATGGTCATCAGTAAATCAGCTTAATATTTGAATATACCAAATTTAATTTGAATGCAATTTGCATAAGCCAACATGCCCCGTCATATGTTTTTGAAAGGTCAAGGTATTGACAATTGAGCAAGACGACAGTAAACCAAAAGTGTCCTAACGCGAAGAGACTGAAACCAAAGCCAAGAAGACTGCAAGGCTGCCACAAAACCAACTGTACAACATGCGAGGCCAGACAATGTTGCAACGTTGCAACGTTGCAAACGCCAACACGCAAGGCGATGCAGCTGAATTTGTAGCCGAGTCTACGACTAAGGCTGATGCTGCGGCAGGGTGGCAAGCAAAGTGTGGTCAATGTGGCGCGTTTGTTAGAATGCAACAGGCAGCAGGCAGCAGCAGGCAATAAGAACGGCAATGCCATCAACGTCTTTGGGGCCAGTGTTTGCAGCGCGTTGGTCAAACAGCATGCCAATCCAAGCCAAGCCAAGCCAAGCCGAGCCAAGCCAAGACAGAGTCCAAGTCCAAGTCAGAGGCGTCCATGGAGTGGAGTCCATGCGGCCCATATGCGGAAACGCAATTTTGTCGTTATTTATGGACGCTGGCGTGTGTTCATGCAACACATGCATGGCGTTGCAGCTGAGGCTGCCTCCGCTATAACAGGATGACCATCGACGTGGCATTAGATGAAGAAGAAGACAACGACGATGAAGCAGAAACGAAAGACGAAGTATCACTGCTACACTCAGAAAATAAGTCTACCTAGAAAGTTTTTCTTGCTTTTTTAGCAATAATTTGAGCAAACAAACATTCTAAAAATTAGAAAGGCTTGCCATCAATCGACAACCTAAAATTTATACTATTAATTTAATTTAGGAAATGCCTGCCTAAAAAATAGAAATGCAAACACAAAATTTTAGAGAAAATCCTTTCTAAAATCCAGAAAGAACTAATAATTCTTTTATATTACATAATGTGAAATTATAAACTATCTAAAATAATTAAATGCTAAATACTAATTTTTGGACCAAAAATAGGCAACAATAAAACTAATTTAGAGTTCGTTGAAGAACACTCTGAAAATGATACACACATTTTCTAAACTTTAGAAAACTGTACTCTGAAATTAAGGACACACCAGATTTTTAGACGCAAACTTTCTGACTAATAAAGTGAGTTGCGCTTGGCGAATTTCAAAAATGTAGGGCGACTAATTTTCTGAGTGTAGAAGAAGCTGCATGCAGCATTCAAATGACGATGACTTAGTTGGTGTTGCAGGCAAGCAGGCAAGCAGGCAGGCAGCGAGGCAGCCAGCACCTTGCTTCGAGACCGTAACGGTTCTCTATTAGATTAATTTATATTCAAATTTTTATTACTTGCGCATACCAAAAGCACGACGATGATGATGACGATGACGATGACGATGGTGGTGGCTGCTGTGGCTCTGGCTGTGGCTGTGGCTGCTCCAAAATGAATTGCCAGGCTTGCAACAAGAAGAGATGCGGCAGAGTCGGCGAATCGGGTGGCTTGTGGCACATCCGCGTGGAGGCTGCGTCGCCTGCAACAGCGGCTGCCTCTTTGGTTTTGTGTATTATTAGCCTCTCGCCTACTTGCAGATTCGATGCACGCCAAATGCCAGAGTTGTTGTTGCTGTTGCTGTTGTTGCAATAACGTATAGTCGAAACAGTTACAACGGAAGCTGTCATTCCCCCTTGGGAATGGGGTTTGACTATTGCCAGCGATTGCAGTTGGTCGCCAAATGTTTTTTAGGAGCAATGCGCTGGCGTTCTAACAGTTTGTTGTTGTTGCTGTTGTTGCTGTTGTTGGCTGTTGCTCTTGTTAGTGTTTGTTGCCTATCGCAATAATTAACAGTAAAACGGACAGCGGTTAATTCAAATGCATGAGAAATGCAAATGACGAAACATTTTGAGCTAAAAAGGACGATACCAATGAAGACGTTGATGCCTCCGCCTGCTGCTGCTGCTGCTGGTGCTGCTGCCGTTGCAGCCAAATACAATTAGCCAAGATTTATGTTGAGATGTGGGCTGACATATGCCACAACCCCCATGAACTAGCGCAAAGTTTTGTAATTAAATCATTCCAACATGTAATAACAGTACAATTTAAATAGAAAAATCGCATTGAAATTGAAAAGAACCCGTCGCGAAACTAATAAGTTTTCAGATGATTTTTGACTACTCTCTAATATAGATATAGATAGCTATCTGATCTACTTTAAATTGTTTCCAACTCGAAATCTAAGTCAAAGCTTAGTCATAACAAATTGTTATACCTGAATTAACTATTATCATAGACCCAATAAGTCGAAAATATGTACGAATTACTTTTTAGAGTTGTCAATTGGCAAGCCTATCCATAACAACCACAGCTCCTATACGCAAAACTTTTCAAAGTATCTTCGTCCAAGCTGAAGCCATATTTACAAAATACATACATTTTGATATCCTTGCGGTTAGTATAACAATCTTGTGGTAAAAGTGTATGGGGAACAATCAGTTGAACATTTAAGTTAGCAACGAATCTTAAATGTGAACCAAAGTTAAAACTCCCAGAAATTTAAGGTATTCAGCAATTATGATTATAATAAAAAATAGACAAGCCAAGCCATCATTCACAATACTCCTATAACTCTTAAGCATTATTCAATTAATTATATTCTCTCCTCATTGATAAATTATATTCTTAAATCACTTTTCTGTATGCTTTAAATGATTTTCCTGTTCCCACTGAACCGCCTCGTTACTGCTTCCTTCTTTGTCTTAGTCACTGTTTTACTAATCATTCCTTTCAAGAACCGCTCCGACTACTCTGTAATGAATTCAGAGTCCTCTATTTAAATTATTCAGAAGACAATTTTTAACGACTCTTGTCTCATAAATGACATTTGTGGTTGGGCTTGACTAATTCAAACTAAATATTATTTTGGTCTGATGGAGTTTTTTCCGGATTTCCCTCCAATAAAAGTTGGACTATTTTGCATTTAAAGATCCCCAAAACTCTTACAAGTCTTACAAATATTTCCTATTTAATTCATTTAAAGTTAATATTAATCCTATTGTTAATATAATTTAATCTGTTTTTTACTAGATGTACTAATTGTAGTTGACGTTAAATAAATGAATAATTCACATTGGATTTATTATATAGATTACTCACCCCTGTAAATGCTCCTCGACGTCGGCGACAATGTAGACGGGTTGTCCTGTGGCACTGGTGGTTGTGGCATATGGCAGACCCGCCTGGACGACGACTTGACCGTCGGAGACGAGACTGCCGATGTCGCCGCCGGAATAGATCTCGAGGCCCTTCTGATCGCTGGTGGAATAGATGACAGTTTTGCTGCCATCATTGTAGATCAGATCGATGTGTTTGTCCGTCTGATACAGTTCGGGATCGAGCTTTTGTGGCACACCCGCCAAATGTGGCAACTGTTTGACATTCACATTCACCCCATTCGGATCCGTTGTGGTATAGATGATGGAACCACCGCCACCAGCCGCATGCTTCTTATGATCCTCGTAGATCTCGGCCTCGGTTTTGATCACATTATCGTTGCCATAGTGCAGCACAGATGCATCCAGTGGAAGTGGCGATGTCTGATAGACACCCTGATGTTCATTGTTCATCTTCTGGGCCTGATTGTACATGGCCGTTGCGACGGCATTATCATTTGGCATCAGCTTCGATGGATCGCTAACGATGCGGGTGAGAATGTGTTCGCCGGCCTCATTTCTGGACAGGATGTGATGCTCTCCATTGATGATCTCCCGTGAGATGATCTGCTGCTGTTCACCATTGGGTCCAACGACCCGTATTATCTGATTCTCATCGAACTCAATTTTGGCCAGCGGTTGATGTTCCTGGGCCTGCTGCTGCTGTTGCTGTTGCTGCTGCTGTTGCTGCGGTGGCGCCGCCAAATGTTGTGTGCTCATTTGGGCAGCGATGCGGGCGTCTATCACTTGGCCCCCACCATCGTCGTGGCCATTGTTGGAGCCATTGCCGTCGGGCGGCATGACGACCTTGGGCGTCTCATAGATGAAGACGGCCTCTTTGTCGTAGAGCTTGGAGGAATCTGTGTGCAGATCGAGGACATTCACATTTGTCATTGTGGCCAGCTCGGGCTGTGGACTGTCCGGCGATCGGTGCATTGTGGTCAACAGGGGAACACCGTTCTGGCCTAGGGGGGAGCTGTTGTTGCTGGTGGCAACAATGTTGGCGCCCTGTTGTATTGGGGACAGTGAGGCGTCGCTAAGATGGCCACCGACCACGCCCACTCCCACACCGACGCCCACACCAACCGAGCCGAGTCGATGTGTGTGTGTGTGCAGTGTGTGTGTGTGTGTGTTGTGCGTGTGTTGCTGCTGCTGCTGCTGCTGTTGTTGCTGCTGCTGCTGCTGCTGATGGTGGGCGTGGCCGTGATGATGGGCGGACAGCGATATATCGTTGGACGTGATGACGCTCGTTGTCGCCGTGGATGTGGACATTATATCCAGCAGGACCTGTACCCCAATTTGCTTTAGCTTTCGCTTTGCTTTAATTAATTGACTACTAATTGAGCTTTTGAGCTTTTGAGCTTTGAACTTGAGTTGCAGCTGGCAAATGGTGAAGGCATTCGAATCGTTGTTGCTTTATTGTTGTTGTTGTTGTTTGTTATTTCTTGTCGATTGTTGTTTGTTGTTGTTGTTGTTTGTTGTTGGTGGCAAGCTTTTGAGTTGTTACGAGTATATAAACATTATTTAATATCACTATCACGTTATGAATGAAGGCACTTGTTGTTGTTGTAGATTGTGGTTGTTTGTTGTTGTTGTTTGTTGTTGTTTTTCGTTGTTTCAATATTGCATTTTATGGCACTAAGGAACTAATGGGGAAACAACTAGCTCCTTTATCGTTTGCAATTAACTGAAAAAACAAAGAAAATAAGTTATTTTAAAAATGTGTATCTAATTGATTAATTAATTAACAGCAACTCAAGTTGATTATTAATCAACAAATAATTTATTTATTTTGTTGCATTTTATAGCAAACATGATTAATATTTATAATTTTTCAGCCACACAACTCATAATTATAAGTTTAAACCATATTCAAATGATTAATTTTTATCACTTCTCAGTTTTTAAATTTTTGCTTAAACCATTTTTAATTATTTAATGTTCCTTGCATTGCATCCTTGTATATAAAACACTTGACAACTTTTCTCCGTTCGCTCTTTAACAGTTTTAAAGTAATTGAACAAGATAAAAGGTTATTAATTTGTGTACTTAATATAATATTAAATTTTATATTTAATTTCATCTAATATATTTTTTACTTATTCTATTATTCTTATGTTCTGACTGACTGACTTTAGTTGAGATTAAACAAATAAATAAAATCAGAATTAAACTAAGTGCATCTAACTAAAATAGATATATGGGAGAGGGGGGCAGCTGCTACGCCCATGCCTCTAAATCCCACCCACACAATAATTCTTATCAGAATATAAAGTGTGAATGACAACTGAAGAAGTTAAGTAGTTGGGACGTGCCTCCAAAAACTAAACGTAACCGGTACGCGGAACGCCGCATGCGGAACGGGTTCAAACGTCAATGAGTTGTTGTTGTTGTTGTTGTCGTTGTTGCTGTTGTTGTTGTAGTTGAACGATTTGCAAAGCGGCGCACAAACAAAACAAAAAGGCGAACAAACATGCAAACAAACACAAAACACAGAAACCGAAACGAGTCGGCATAAGTAGTATAGTAAGTAGTAGTAGAAGGGTAGGGGAGGGGAGTGGAGTTACGGGAGGGAGGGCGGCATGGAGGCAGGGAGGCAGGGAGGCAGATAGGGCAAACAAAAGCTGCACACACGTGCCCGTCGAACTAGTTTGACTCCTTCGCAAATGTCAAACGTGTAACTGCATAACTCATCACATCAACAACAACAGCAACAGGTGGAAAGAAGAAGCAGTAGCAGCAGCAGCAGCAGCAGCAGCCGCTGAGGCAGCGCTGCCTTATTTGTGTTTTGTTTTGATTTTGCTTCTGTTGTTGTAGTTGTTGCTGCAAATTGAAAATTAAACAAGCGGCTAAGCCCTGAGCCAAAACTGAAAAAAAAAAAAATGAAAAAAACCGGAGATCCATCAAAGCACAGCTGTGAATGAAAATAGTCCAGTTTCAGTTTCGGTTTCAATTCCAGAATCTCATTCTCTCGCCATCTCTCTCTGTGTGTGTTGCGCTCTCGCTCGAACAAACAACAAAAAACATGTTTCCGAGTTGATTTTGATAAACGAACCATACCGGAGCGAAACAAACAAAACAACAACAAGCTACAACTTTTTTTTATTTATTTTTTTTTTTTAGAACAGGTACCGGTAGTCCGGATACCAGGCCCAAACAACAACAACGTGGCCAATCCTTGACCTAATCCAGAAGTTGATGTTGCCGTTTGCCGTTTGCTGACTTTCTGGTTCGACTGCCGAGCAACCTGCCCCCGACCAGGTTCACAATTCAGGTGGCACGTCCAGTTATTGTTTGATAAAAGACACCAAAAAAAAAACAACAACAACAACAACAACCACATCAACAACTACGTCTGCTGCTGCTGCTGCTGCAAAGTTCATGTGGTGTCTGTTGGGGATGTGGATAAACTTGTTTTTCTCACACACAGTCAGTTAGTTCAACCGGCTCGAGAGTTCAGACTCTCGGCGACTCTCAGGTCTGAGATCGTGTCTGCTGCTGCTGCTCCTCCTACTCCTCCTGCTGCTGCTTCCACTTGCTGGCAATGCTTGTTCCGTTAGTAGGTGAGGTCAGTGTCATGTGGCGCGCTTATAGACTAGTTTTTGGCACAGACAATGCAACCATCCCCCTCTGACCCCCCCGAGACACCGACAGAAACCGGTCAATATTGATCTGCGGCACGTGGCCAAAAGGCTTAGAAAGAGAGAGAGTCAGAGACAGAGAGAGAGAGAGATGGAAATAGAGAGAGAGATGCGGCGAGGCAGATTCTTAAAGCGATTAGTTTGCCCCACGGCTGCTAATATTGCGTACACTCAGAAAAAAATTGCCCTACATTTACAACAAGTCGCCAAGGGCCAACATATTATTCAAAAAGTACATTTCTAAAATTGATGCTTGTTGGTTCACTTTCTAAAACGCAGAGTTTGGATTCCTAAATTTCAAGGTGAGGTTTTCTAAAATTTAGAAAGAATACGTCTAATTTTCAGGGTGTTGTTTCCTATGTGACCCATAGAAGAATTCTTTTATTAGCTTTTTTGTTACTTATGTTATAATTAATAAACATATGTATTTTAAGGTTGTACATTTACAAACATTTTAGATATTTAGGTATTTATTACTAGTTACTGCTTTTTAGAAAAGAGTTTGCATTTCTATATTTTAGAAATGTATTTCTAAATAATAGAAAATATTTCTAAAAACAGAAAAAGAACAAATCCCCATATTTTTGGGATTGTCGATTTAAGAAAATCCTTTCTAATTTATAGAAGTTATTTTTCCCAATATTTGCATCTAATTTCTAATAACAAGAAAATTCTTCGATTTCTTAGGACGACTTACTAAAATTAAAATCTAATTTTTTCTGAGTGTAGAGAATCATCGAAAACAATTAGGAAACAATTAAAACGACATCAGGCTGCTGACTTGGCCAATTTCACAGCTATCTCTTATGACTTTTGGCTTTAGCCAGCGACTATTACAAAATGGGGTCAATTTGAACAATTCCCCCTCTCTATCATCTCCCCCTCTCCCAAAATACGGACTTAATGTTGCCCTAAAGCTATCGAGTTATAAAAGTGAGTACTTGGAGCACTTCTGTACACGGTACTTTCAAGTGCTGCTCTTGGTCAAATGCCCCTTTGGGAATAGTTAAAAAAACAACTTGAGCCAAATCTGACGAATTGATTAAACTCTTTTTGTTGTTTGCGTATAAAAGCTGTACTCTAATTGCAAACAAAAGGCGTTAGGAAATTAAAAAAAAAAAGAGTTTTTGATTGTTATTGAAATTGATATTGATTTCTGATACCTATCTTTACCTCGGACACAAGGGTAGGGGAGTCTCCACAAAGAGCCCTGTATCCAATTTGAAATACAGTATTAATCTGGAGACCAATCCCTGATCAAAGAGATAAGGTAAAGAAAGTTAAGGCAGTGGACAAATGGAGCAGATCGCAAATTATTCAATTTAAATTTAACATTAATCTACAGGACAAAATCATGGCCAAGAAGAGAAGATAAAGTACAGGTTTGGAACGCGCCTAAGTAAATTTAAAATTTCTACATTTAACTATAGTATCAATCTAGAGCCCAAAACCATGGTCAATTTATTTATATATTTATTTAATGTCCACTAAAGACAATCCTAACTAAAAAATATAAAAAAGAAAGAAACAAAATAATTTTAAACTGAATTAAAAATTAAATTTAGTGTTAAGTTTAAATGAAATATACAACAAATTTTTATAAGATTTGTGGGGGTATTTGGCTTGAGAAAATCTCAGAAAAAAACCCAATCAGTCAAACAAAAAAATAGTTAGTATGAACTGGTTAAGCCAAACAAGCTAGTTAGTTAAGTCAGGCAAGACCTTTACAATTTAGTTCTCAAACATACAAATAAAGGATTCTGAATGAATCAGCAAGTAAATTAAGGCACTGGAGAATTTTATTTGAGTTTGAACTTAGAGGTTTGGTCGCAAACTAAAATTTAAAAAATCAGCTTTCTTAAAAAATTAAGATTATGGTTTTTTAATATTACACACTTCAATTTACTATCTTTGGCAAATGGAAAATTATGTATTTGTCCAAGACTATCGACAGGATTTCATTTTCCCCAAATGCAATAAACATGTGTTCATCTCCATAAAACTAACACACGCTTAAATCAATTAAATTAAGAACTTAAGTTGAGCATTGTTCTTTTGTTTTGTTTTATTGTCCAGCATTATCAGCTAACTGTGTATGTGTGGAAAGCGTATTTTCCCCCTTACCAACAATTCTCGCAGGTCGACAAGAAAAAGAATCGTTGAGGAATAAACATTTCAAAGCAATGCCCATTTGAAATCCCATCAAGATTTGACATAATTTAGACCCCAACCATTTGATATATGCATGCATACATACATATATAAATATATATATATATATGTGAATATATATATATATACATATATATGTATATATATATATACATGCATATGCGCACCCTGGGATAGCGTTACCAAAGACAAGAAAGAAATGTATGAACCTAACCCTAAGCCATCGGTCAAAGCCGGGCATCAATAACGACCACAGTCAAACAGTCAAAAGCAGAGACGCAGCAACACTGAGAGCCATAGCTAGAGCCACAGCCAAAGCCACAGTCAGAGCCAAGAAGAAGAAGAAGGTAAGAAAAACGCAGAAAAAGCAGAAAAAGAAAAACAATAAACGTTAACACGAACACGAAAATAAAATAACTCTCTCACGAAGTTAACCCCCCCAACCCCCACACACCCCTCCCCCGCCCGCCGCAATCCCCCGCAACCAGCTCCTCTCTTCTATGGCGCGCTGGCTTTTGTGTGTGGGTTAAGTGTGCCCCGAGTCTTTGTAGCCGAGTGTATATATGCTGAGTGTGTGTCTGTGTGTGTGTGTGTGTGTCTGTGTAAGTTGGCTGACGTGCACATGTGAGTGTCACTATTATGTGCGTGTGTGTGTGTATGTGTGTGTGTGTGTTGCGTAGTGGCTAACGCAAGCCAGCAACAGCAACAGCGACTGCGACTGCGACGTCGTTGTTCATTTTACTGTACCATAATCGCAGCCCCAAATTGATCGCCATCATCAATGTGCGGACCACTAACAAAAAGTATAAAGAATAATACATAATACAACATACAAAAAGAAAAAAATAAGGAAAAACAACAACAACAACA